AGAGGACCACCGTGTCGGCTCCCCCCGGGGGAGAGTTCTCCGGGAAGGCGCTGAGAGGGTCCCTGTCCCTCCATTTTGATTCCTTCTCTTCCTTCTGCCTCTCCAGCCTGTCCCGAACTATGAATATGTTATCCTGCAGCTTCTTCCCGCGAGGGCGAGGGCGAGGGAGAGGATCCACTAGTACTGTGGGTGTGGCCTTTTTTGCTTCTGGATTGGGCTTTAGTTTCCCATCTAACTCTTCCAGTGTGTGGAAGCCGAAGGACTCACTCTTTTGGGGTTCTTTGGTGATGAGGGGTTTGAGGTCTTCTAGTGTTTTTCTCACCTCCTCCCAGGGTTTAGGAGCTTGTGTTTCGTCCAGCATCTTCAGTTTGTCCAGAATTGGCTCGCCTAGAGTCTGTTTCTCCTCCTTCTCATGGGGGACGACCTGCTTCAGCCATGGCTCCTCGATGGCGTTGATGTCGAACACGGCCAAACTCGTCGCTGCCGGACGGTAAGGGACTGCTACATCCTTCGAGGAACCACACCCCATTTCGTTTTTTTCCTAACTATGCTCTATGCTCCATGCTCCATGCTCCATACCCAAAACCCAAATACATATAGGACCACCTACAACTATACCACGACTGCCTATATTTTCACCACTTCTTTTACCCCCAAAATTAATAAATGATAGTCCCATGAATTTCACCCATAACATGTTACAAATCTTCAAATTAAGTATTATTCTCTATTTAATATTTAACTGAAAAGTTTCTACTTAATTTCTCTTTTATTTTATCTATCACAAAATAATATAAATTTAGGATTTAACTAATCATATAAAAGTTTATTTATATAACTGAAAGTTAATGATAGGAACAATAATACAACATCATTTCACTAACTACTAAATAAGTATGGGTTGGCTATATGATCATACAACACCATTTAACTCAATTAACAACCAAAATTTTAGTAATATTATTTATTTTCTCTCTTAATCACTTCATCCAATGTCATTCTCAGCCACACTCTTTTTCTCTTCGTATAGGTCTAAAAATTATACAATAAATATTTTTTTCATGAGTGTCTATTGAGAGTCGAGACTTTTTTTTTTTTTTTTCATGTCCAAATCGCCTTGATTAATTCATTTTTCAAGATTTAAATTGATTGACCATTATACAAAATTTTAAATTAATAATTGTTCCGGCCAAAGGATGGACTAGGGTTTCTTCCTAGGTTAAGCCTTAGAGCCAGAACATTCAAAAGTGTAATCTACCGTCACAAACCCTATGGTTTTAGGTCTTATAGTTTTTTGTTCATGGGCCTCGTGGGTCCCGAGAATGTGGGAATTTCGTTAACCGTTTTTATCTAGAAGATATTTGGTAAATGAAGGTGGGATTTCGCCCTTGCCATCGGATAGCCTCTATATGGGGAGGTTAGATCGGCCCCTGACCGAGAAAACACATATAGAGGGGGCCAGTCGAGTCTTGGCCGAGTAAGCTCTTATAGATGAGTGGGATCGGATTATGACCGACCTGACTTATGCAGAGAAGCCAGGTCGGATGTTGACCGAGTGAACCTCTGGAGAGGGGGTCGGTTAAGGTTATAGCCGACCTGTCCTATGTAAAGAATCCAAGTCAGATTCCGACCTGGATGGTACACTTGCCTTCCAGCCCTGAGCTTATAAGGCGAGAGGGCTTAAGCCATTGCTCCTAGGGTTTATATCGAAAATAAACCGAGATATCTCACACGGTACACTTCCGGGATGAGAGGTAAGACCCACTCGGGTCCTGGCCGAGCTCAATCACGTGACCATTCTCGTGAGAAGGTCAGGTCCGATTCTAATCAGGTTCACCCTTGTGGTGGAATCAGGTCGGTCCTTTGCCGAGTACCACCACATGACGAGGTGAAAGGGGTCTCGGTCATTTTCCTACGAACCGTATTGGATGTGGGCCGAGACGGTACAATAATACATAACTATTAAACTCATAAAATTATATGCAAATATTTTTTAGTTACACAAATGTATAAACACACGCTATAATATAAAGGTTAATATATAGCAATCAGGGTAAAAGTGAAAATTAAAGAAAAATAGGAAAGGTACGTGGATGAGCTAGCAACTAGGAAGCTAATCTGCTGATAATGATAATGATAATTGAATTATGGCATACATAGGTTGATACACACGTGGACGTGGTGGACAAGTGTGATATAATATTTATGTGGCTTGGGTTGGAGGGATAATCCATGTGGTTTAGTTTGAGGAAGAGCGAGCGATGATAGCCTTATGATAAATGTGTGGCTTTCCGTTATTTACGTGGACCTCAAACAAACCCTTTCACACCTCAACGATTGAATTTTAGTTTGGTCCTACTGTGTTGCGTTGTGTGTCTATTCCTCCAAATATGCCAGTGACACCTGTGGTTCTGGAGGATCCATTGTTTGTAATGTACACAAATATCCCTCATAATATGCTAAGGACATACGATATTTCTGTTCTATTTAAGGTATTTTATGCTTCTTAACTTGGTCTGAGGTATCCAAATTGCAGGCTTGCAGCCCAGCCTTAAAGCCCATAGATACGACCAAGGATGCACTTGGAGTTAGCTATGACCTATCTATCGTTATTTTGTTTTTGGTGCCATGGTCTCATCTCTTACATATTTGAGCAAAATAAAAACCCTACTGAAATAAACAAGGCATATTACAACAAAAGAAAAGTTGAAGTAAAATTAAACTTTTCGTCTTTCTAAATGTTGCTCATTTTTAATTTAATTCATATAAAAATATAAATAATTCTTTTTTAGGAGAATCCAAACCAAGAGTAAGAAAATTATTCCTCAAAATATTTATTTAGGAGATTAACTTATTTCTAAATGCTTTCTTTATAAAAAAATATAAAGAAAGCATTGATATTAATCTAGCTTAGGTATAATGTTTATTTTGATGTAATTATGGGGTTAGTATAGGGGAAAATGCATGCCTCACTGTTGTTTTAAAAATATATTATTATTAGTTAATGATGAAACAATAAAGTGCACAGTTAATTATATAATAGTTAATAATTATGTGTATTAGTAAAGGTGTAAAAGAATTAAAAAAAATATATACATACCAAAGCACCAGGTTCTCTTTATTAGTTGGTACAAATTAAACTAAATATTATTTTGTTGTTTATTGGCAAATAGTATTCTTATGAAATACATGGATTAAAGTAGATATGTCCTCTCAACTTAAGTTTTATATATTTTCAAGAATCAAATTTTGAACACTACAAATATTAAACTGTATATTAGGATCATAATTTCAATCTTATATATATATATATATATATTGTATCCGATCATTCGGAGATTACCTTTACCTTTAAAACTCAATGCTTAAAGAACTAGACACCAGTTGACCAATAATTAATAACAATCATCTACGCCTTTCAAAGTCAACACTTAAGAGCATGCGCACCATCCAATAGAGAATTAGATTTGGAATATCACATATGGTCAACTGAGTTAGTAAGCTTCTAGCAAGAATAACATCTAATGAAGGTTGACGATCGACACCCGTAGACTGATCTCATTCGTGTTATCACATTGCAATCTTAGGGCTTGAAGAACCTATGGGCCTCAAGCCTTTAAGCCCAATACAACAAAATCCCAAGTGTTTCCAATACGACTAAGGTGTCATTAGTATCAATCCTTCCTCATATGCACGTAACCTCCTCCCTGAGAAATTAAATAATCATTAAATAATCATAATTGTTCGGATCACATGGCTGAAATTAATTAAATTCATAACAAGCTACTGTACAGGAATCTTTATATCATCTTCAAATAGTGGAATCTATATTGAGTTTTCAATGCATTTTTTTCTTTTTGTTGGTTATTCAATGTTATGTTAGATTTAAGAACTCTTTTTTTTTTTCAATAATAAAATCTAAATTGAGTTCATAATTCACTTTAATTATGAGTTCTACAATAATTTATTTTCTTCCTTTTTTGTTGCAAGAAAACATTTCTTATTGATTTTTATAGAAGAATCAAATCTACATATGAAAGTCTCGTCACTTCAGTTTGATGATAAAAAAAAAATATGAATTGGTTCTTATTTTAAAAACGTGTATAAGAACCTCTTATCAGAAATGTATGTGATTTAGAATAAATAAATGCAAACTATGTTATTGTTTAACTAGTCGTTATTAATGTTACACTTGCACCTCCAATTTGATAAACTTTTGAGATTTTTTAGAAATAAGCAAAATAATTTTTTTAGTTGAATTATAAGCTTAAATCTACTTTTAATTTTCACTGTTTCGTGACTGCGACTGTACAATTGGGTATCTCAAAAAATTTCATTACAAATTTGTTCTCCTAATTTTTAAAATTAATTAATGTTGAAAAATAATTCCTTACGGATTACTTATACTTAGTTAGTAACGTAGAAAAATAATATTATTAAAAATTAAATTATTTTAAAAAAATTGTAAAAAATAATTGTAATAATAAAAAAAACTTCTTTCTTCAATAAAAAAATAATGCAATCCCTCACATAGAAGTTAAGTTAGTGTAATTAAGTAACGGTTAGATATTATTACTCATATATATATATATTGTTTAATTTCAAAAACCTTGAGACCAGATTCACAAAAAAAATTTATGAAAAACTAAAATTATACATTCACCAAATTATAGAATGAAAAGTAAATTTAAATATAAATTAAAATGTTAGGATCCCAATGGCATTTACATGTTTTAAAATGGTGGCATATTAGACAAACGTCACGGACCAAATAGACAAAAAAGAAGGTCCCGTGAAGGCATCTAGTATTTCTTACTAACCCTACTTGATGCCTCTTCGCCCATACATCGAACCTATGTGAGCTATCATGTTTTACATTTCAGAAAAATTCCCCTGCCTCCTTATCCAAAACCAATTCAAGTCCCGACAACAATATGGGATTTTTCTTCTCTTCTAAGTAAAAATTCAATGAATAAATTTTCAATCTCATTTTTAAAATATAAATAAGTTTCATATCAATAAAATAAAAAAAAAAATAACAATTTATAAAACACATATATTTTAATGATTAAAAGACTTTTAAAATAATAACCAAAAATAATATTTTTACAAAATATCCCATTAGACAAATATCATAAATAATTCCATCAATATTTTATCATATCACCCTTGTCTCTTTGTACCCGATAAAACCATTCCTTTCTTTTCTTAAACCAAAGAGAAATTGAATTAGAATAAAAGAAATTGAAAAAGAGTTTTTTTTTTTTTATAAGAAAAATTGAAAGAGTTATATATAACGGAGAGAAATAGAGGAAGAAAATGGTTCATATAATGAGAATGAGAAGAAAAAAATAATTTTATAAAATATACTTTACAGTATAAATAAGTGGTATCCAACCTAAATACTTGCATCTTTTGTATAACTTTTAAAAAGTGACGATAATATATTTAACGAATCATTTTTAATTATCACCATGCGCAAAATTTGTTCGGTTAAGCGACAATCACATGTACAAATTAGTGACATGATAAAAAAAAATGTCATGTAAAAGTGGCAGCAAAAGGAAAGTTACTGGCTTCTTTTAATATTTTTGGAATTGAAGATCCGAAGCAGAAGAAAAGCATGGAAACAATTTGACGAGGGTAAAAAGGAAAGAAAAAAACATGGAGGGGTAGAGTAGAGTATTATTCGAAATGAATGCAGAGCCTCTGGCGCGGATATTTGAAATAAATCTGCTTCTCAGGACTCAGGTGTTTGATTCTGAATATTAAAATTGAGAATCCACCTCTTATTCTGTTGTTTTCCCTTTGGATCAGTCATCACGGATACAGCACTTGTCAAAGCAGTTCCTAACGGTCCAATTTCACATGCGCGCCGCTAAGTAAAATACACCAATAAAAATAAACAAGCCCAAAGAGCACAGTAACGTGGGGTGACACTATAAGGACAAGTTCTCGCATTAGAAATTTCAAATGTTCTAACTTAAATATAACATTGAATTGAACCATCAAAACACTGAAATCTAGCAAATGGGGAATTGCTCAATCAAGGGTGGTACCACTGGAGAGTGTCACCACTCTATTCGTGTTATGTGTGACAGTGGTGCCATTCTACAGTTCAAAGCTCCTAAAACAGTGGCTCAAGTGCTTCAAGATTACCCGGGTTATGGTGTTTTCCGCCAGGGTCATGCCTCTTCACCTTTGCCAGACCAAGAGAGCTTAAGCTATGGTCTTTTCTATTATCTTCTTCCCCTTAAGGAGGTCCAAGTGGACCAAAAGAGTTGCTGTGACAACCTTGGAGTCTCAGAACAAGCGTGCAAGTCTGCAGCGTGTGATTATGTTGAGAGTTTGTCAAATGGGTCAGCGCTTGAAGTGCTGCCATCGGCTAAGAATGGTGTGTGGAGAGTGAAGTTGGTGATTGATCCTAAGCAACTAGAGGAGATTTTGTCCGAGCAGGTGAATACTGAAGCACTGATTGAGAAGATGAGAATGGCTGCAACTACATGTGCTACTAATAGTCCTTCAAGGAGCCCAACCATGAGCCCTTGGAAAGTGGGGTGGAAGACAACACTCTTCAGTGGGAAGATTGCTAAAAACACTGCCACTCCAGGGTCAAATTTCTATTTGGGTTCTTGTTAGGGAAAGCTTTTCTAGCTAGTATAGTATATGCAGAAAGCGTGTATGTAGTATGTTATGTCAGGTTTTCCCTAACAAACAGGTATATTTGGACGACCTGTCCAAATATCAATGATATGATATGGATGTAAGGAATATTAAACATTTTTCAGTCTGATAGCGTTTCCAGGTTTTTGTTTCTGCTTCTTACCACACAAAAGGGTCACAAGACTAAAAAAAAAAAGCAATCAATCATCATCAGCATTAACTAGGTAACACCATAAATGAATTTGGATTGACGATTGAGTAGATTTAATGCGTTTTAAGAATTCAGTTGCCTTGGATTGCCTTACCAATTGGCAACACACAAACAAGTAATACTCATTCATGTGCTCACAGTAGATATAAAGTCCTGTCACTAGATTACTTTAAAGGTTTTATAAGAATGGCCTAAGTGCAGCGTTTCACAAGTTCAATTTTCTATGAAACACTAATCATCTAAACTATTTTTCCCATCTCCCTAGGCTAAACCAATAAATAATTCTTATTTATTTAATATTTTGATATACCTAAAAATCTCACATTACTTGAATAATATTTTAAAAACATCTATCCTTAATTCACTAAAATGTCTTTTCAAAAATAGTCCAACAAGTGACAAAGTAGATAATATTTCAAACATGATAACTCTAACTATACCGTGACTTAAGTACAATACGCTGGTTTGAAGACATAATTGAGGTGTATCAGGCCCATGTGTTGGTTGAGAAGCTGGTTTGAAGACATTCTTGAGGTGTATCAGGCCCATGTGTTGGTTGACAAGACTAGTTGGACTGCATCTGGTGTTTGGACATGAGTCATTGGGACTCATGTCTAAATGCAGTCTAGACGACATGGCCCATGCACAAATGGATCAACTATGCTGAATTCCCAACATTCAAATTTCATGTATCAGTCTTGCCGTAACCCACACTGTCGTTAATATCTATTAACCTTGTGATGTTTGAAAAACAAAACAAATGGTAAAGATTTTGCTTTCACTCCCTCTCTGATTGCAGACTATCCAATTCCTATAATCTACTTAATATTTTTTTTCCCAGGGGACAAAATAACATTACCTAGTGGAACAAAGTTTTGTTGTTATTGGACAAAATAAAACAACTGTCCATACTCATCACTATCAGTAGTTTGCACCATAATCCAATGTTTTTGCAGCATAATTTGCATATTACCGAATTCAATCCAAAACTACCGCACACAACCAAGTACTAACAGGAAACAAGCTTGTATCTAGCAAATGCTGAGACAACTTCAGAAACTGAGTTAACACGATATTGAAGGAAATAGCATAATAATGTATTCAGTTTAGACTTGCTCAGGAGTCATCCTAAAATGGCTCTACGCGGTTGCAGAGCACTTAAACATACATGATTCACAGTGACATCAAGTCCTTTAATTTAACAAAATGGTCCAGTATCAAAAGGGAACCATGTTGCAGGATATCCCCAAAAAGAAACAAGCAAAGCCACATCACATCATTCGTGAGCTGAGACGTCAACTTAGTATGTCCATGATATTAGGTATGAATACTTTAATAGCGTGACTCCATTTTCTTGATGGCTTTCTCTATGGCAGGCACATTCTTCTTAAAGGCTGACCACTGCTCCTCTGTCAAACTTATTCCTGAAAGACAAAGAAAGTCAGGATTCAAAACAAACTTCAATTACTGATCGGCAAATCAGTATCATGTGTTCAATAAGGAAACGAAATTGCTACTAGCAGCAGGTCCAGCACTAGTCTGAAACAGTGCAACAAATCTTACTTTTTTCATAGTTCTAGGTTAGATAAGAAAATTTAAAATTTTATCAGGAACATATACTTATCCGGGTATCCACAGATACAAAATTTTCATATTCTATATATAGAATAGAAGCTTTTATGTTTCTTGGTAAAAATTTCTGTTTATCAATCCACACATGGGCATTACAACTAGCAACAGCAACATCAAGTTGAGAAAATCAAAACAAAGAACAGTACTAATACTAATCTCACTACAGCATAGGGGTAGTGTTTCACATCACACAAGAATGCAACACGAGAGACAAATTTGCATAACTTTCATGCTAAGCTACAGATTAATTTCTTAACTAAATGAATTTTGGCATCACGACTGCAACACTGAGGCTTCTACCTAGTCAAATTGGCAACATAGAGTGGATAGGCATAGTTCAGTGAAAAATGAAACCTTAAATTGAACACTGATAGTTTAAATTCAAGACATTTTAATGATCTGTGTGGGGAATAAATACATACCAGTCCAATTAACATAATGAAGTAATGCAGAGAGAGGGTACCCCAACTGTTACTTAGATACAGCCCATTTTCGTCCTACACTCCTACAGTTTCAAGGCTAATCTTCTTTTTTTGTATACAATAGAGACACTGATATAGTGATATTAGAACCTATTACCTTGTGCAAAAACTACCTAAATCTCAAACTACTAACCCGACCTTAGTGGATTGATTTCAAAACTAATCTTAATAGATAACTAAGTCCACAAACATTTTTTTATGCGCCCATCTAGACCTTATTGTGAAATGCTGAACTTGAACCGAAACTGAAGATATTTGAAACAGAAATACAACCATGCATTATAACAGGCTATACCCATGGCTAATGCCTTTGAATTTGAATGCATTGCATACGGAAGGAATGCATAAAACATTACACAACACGAAATCAACATAATTATCATAAACAATCCCAAAAAATGCTCTGAGATATCATAAAATGTCTACAATACATTGAACATTACTGAAGGATGTGTTCAGAAACCCCTGGCCATCAGAAAGGAACGTTTTTTATTGTCCCCCTCCCTGCTAATTAGCGTAAATTTAATGACAAGGATTAGGACATGGTTGAAACTTAAACCCTGCAACCAACCCTATTTGCAAAATTTAAAAAAATGAAAGCTTTCAGACCCCCCACAATCCAAAACCGATTTCCCTTTCCACATAGAATCAGGAGAATCGAAAAAGGGCATAAAGGAAATAAATAGCAAAAGTAACCTTTGGAAGTAGGAAGCTCCTTGCCATCCTTTTTATAATACTCCCGAATGGAGACCAACGTTTTCCCTCTGAAATCCTGAATCGTCACCTTTCTCTTATCTGAAAGCTAAAATCCCAAAATTGAAAGAAAAAAAAATGATTTAGCCGAGCAACCCTTTTTCCATTGCCACCTGTAAAATGAGCAAAAGGGTTTAAGAGGAAAGACAGATGAAAATACCCTGCAAATGATGAGATCGCCATCGTCATTGTACTCCTTGCCCTTGGAAACTCCTTGTTGTTGTTGTTGTTCTTCTTCTTCTTCATCATCATCATCATCATCATCGTCTTCTTGTTGCTGCTGTTGTTGCTTCTCTTGGAGAAAAGCCTCCACAACTTGTCTGACGAAGGCTTTGAAATGGGGCAGAGAAAGGTCGAGGGCAAGTTGTTGAGAGGCCTGCTTTCGAATCTTGTGCTCAGTAACCTCGTCCATGTCCGATTCTTGCAAAATCCTGCGAACAGTTTCCTCGATTCTTTCTTTCGTTTCAGAATCCATTTTTGCACTGATCTCTCTGACAGCAATGTTATGCAATGTAAACGACGGTGACACTCTTGCTCACTTAACTCTGCTGCTAAAGTTATAAAAATATGACAGTATTTTAATATTCTTATAATCAATTAATCAAAATAATGTATATCTTTCAAACGGAAAAGATAATGTATATATATAATATAACCACAATTCAAGAGTTGAATTGATAAAAGATATATTTTTTTATTTATTGATAAAAGATATATTTGTATAACATTCTTAATTCTTAATAAAATTATTATTTGTAGATGTAATCGACTGTTATAGTAATCAATTATGTGAAATGTTTTGTTTCGGTTAAATATATATTTGTTCCGTAATTTTTTTTTAGGAATTTTTAAAGATATATCTAAACTTAAAGAAAATTCTAATTTTTTTATTTATCTTTTTATAACTAACCCTTTATGAATTTCATAGTTTACAATTATTGTGATAAAATTATTTATTAATTTTTAATGATTTAATTATTAAATTAAAAATTGTTAATGCGTAAATTGAGTTAGCATATTATTAAAATTTAAAAAAATTATTTGATATTTCATTTCATTAATTCATATAGATAAATAATTATAAAAATATTTGTATACATTGATTTGAATTTATATAATAAAGTATCATATGAATTTTAAAATTTTGTAGACTTAATCTATACATTAAATTATTAAAAAAAGTAATTGCACTACAATGAAAAAAAATAAATTACGAGATAAAAATACATAATAAGTAAATATTAAAAATAAAATAAAATAATAATAAATACATAGACATTATACAAAAATAATTTTCATCATTATTATTTTCAAAACGTTCCCAAATATGTTAAATAAGATTTGCTTGAAATTTGGTAAAGAACGGTTGCTTGAGGAAGCAACTCTCTCTCTTCTTCAAACAACTCGTTTTGTCATGTCAGAGTCCTCCAATGATAAGAAACCGAGGCTTGAATTACTTCATAGGACAAGCAACTCCCATTGAAATTATTCTTAATAATAAGCTCCTTTATGAAAAATAAAATAAAAAATTGAAGAGTTTAGGAACATAAAGTATATAGCATAAATAAATAATACAAAATATTCCTATTGTTTCATGAAGAATATAATAATATTTTTGTAGTACGACCCAATGCAAGTAATCTATACTACCTATGTATCAAGTCGTCCCTCTGGACAGAGTGTAGGAACATAAAGAACTCAAATTGATGGGGTGTTGTTGCACCAAACAGCGATTTCATCATGAAGATCCATCAATTCTTGCGTCCCAAACCTATTGTAAGCCTTCTTTCTAATTTTATGTCTTAAACTTTCTATTCTGGGATTCCAGTGGTTTAATCAGTTGTTCTTATTCCTTTGCCTATGTTATTCGTCCAGTTAATATTTCTGAAATTGAAGCATTGTATGATCTGTTCAAGAAATTAAGCAGCTCCATCGTCGACGACGGGCTTATCAGCAAAGTATTTACATTAAGCTCATTTTCAGCCTAAACACCATTTCTTTTAGGACAAATTATACTTGTTCTCCATTTAGTTTCTTGAAATTTCACATATTCTTTTTTTTTTTTTAGCTCTTGCAGTAACTCTTCTTACGTGAATACATGGTATAATGTGTTTTCTTTAGCGTAAGAAGGTACATGTTGAAACATGTTACACCATGCATACTATATAAGAAGAATTATTGTAAACATCAAAAAGTCAGAAATATCGTGTGAAATTTTAAGAAATTACGTTATTAATTAACATTGTGATATACACTCATTAATTAATGAATAGATTAATATATCTCATATTTGTTACCAAAAAGAAAATATATCTCGAATATTATGCAGGAAGAGTTTCAGCTAGGCTTATTTGGAAGCAGCGACAAACAGAGCCTCTTTGCTGACAGGGTCAGCTTCCTCATACTATTTAACTTCTGAATTTTAGAAAACATCATGTGACAAAATAGGATGATATATGTGATTTGTGCAACAATCTTGTGTTCTTTTTGGAATGACACAATTCACTGTTTTTATCCAAAATTGATCGCAGCTCTTTGATTTATTTGACTCAAAAAATGATGGGGTAATAGAATTTGGAGAGTTCGTTCGAGCTCTGAGCGTCTTCCACCCAGCAACCCCACAAGCACAAAAAGCAGATTGTAAGATTTCCTCTAAAGAATGTGAATCTGCATGTATGCCTTTACAATATTTGTATTAAGCCTTGGTGTCTAATGTGGCAGTTGCATTTCGACTCTATGATATATGTCAAAGAGGCTTTATTGAACGAGGCCAGGTAAACAATAAATAGCATATATTGACTTTAATTCTCATCTTGGTCAACCGTAAGTTATCCTTATCCTAATAGATTCTCTCATGTCAAGTGTTCTCAGACTGTATCATATAAAAAAAATTGTATTTATATCATGTATAAATGTTCTAAATTGTAAACCACCCATATGTAACTCAGATTAACATTCTATTTACAGCCTTGTAGAGTAATTATATTTTTCAAACTATGTGATGGAAGGTAAGAGAGATGATCCTGGCACTACTAAGTGAGTCAGATTTGGTTCTGTCTCAAGACATAATTGAGGTCATAATTGATAAGGTATCAATACTTCTCTTTTTCCTCTTACTAATTTTTCATTCTTGTTTACATGTCATGTAGATAGTAGTTACGAGATAAAAATACATAATAAGTAAATATTAAAAATAAAATAAAATAATAATAAATACATAGACATTATACAAAAATAATTTTCATCATTATTATTTTCAAAACGTTCCCAAATATGTTAAATAAGATTTGCTTGAAATTTGGTAAAGAACGGTTGCTTGAGGAAGCAACTCTCATATATATATATATATATCGATGAGAGGACAAAAAAAAGGGATTGTGGTTGGAGTAGAATAGCTGGTAGTGAAGACATGAGATGATAGAAGAAAGAAACTAAGCTAGAGAAAGCTGGAGAAAGGATAGGTGGAGAAAACTGTTCGTCAAACAAGTTGTGGAGGCTTTTCTCCAAGAGAAGCAACAATAGCAGCAACAAGAAGACGATGATGATAAATAAGTATACTTATACTTACTCCACTTAGTAACTCATGTTCTATATCAATTTTTAACGATCTATCCATTAAATTAAGAGTTCTTAATATATAGATCAAGTTTAGAGTTTCATTTTAAAAAAAATGAAAACTATTTGATTATCTATTTCATTAGTTCAATTGATGGATAATAATAAAAATATTATATACACGAATTTGAATTAACGAAACAGAGTATTAAGTGATTTTACACACACATATATATATATAAGGGATTGCTTCATACTTCACCCCTTTTTTAGTTGGGGTACATTAGCAATTTACACAAAAAAAATTGGATTAAAAAATCATTTTTTCAATCAATTACTTACAAAGGTATTAGAGTAATTCAAGATATATAACAATAAGATTTTAAAAAAACTTATCTCTCCTCCCTCGGTTTATGTACTATAATTCTCCATAGTTGTCCTAATTAGCTTGATGTTCTTTTATCCTTTAATTTGGATTTTTAATGTGTAGCTTTGTCTTTAGTGTTTCAACCCTCATTCCCCATTTTCATTGTCACAAATTACATATTGCAACCTCTTTTTTCAATACGGTGACTAATTATGGAGAAATTGTCTACTCTCCAACATCAAGAAAAATAATTCACAATTATGTTTGATAATTGACTTTATTTGATCATGACAAAGTGAGATGTATCTTGCTAGGAAAGTACTAGTTAGCAAAATTTATTTTCTTATTTTTGTGCGTGAGTTATCATTCACAATGAAATAAATAAATAATAAAACATGATATTCAAGTTTTTTTCTTCTAATTATCATTGACATGTACAACATGTTGCAATGTCTTATTTCTCATGACGCTAGATTATGAAAATGTTCTTAAATTTAATAAGAAAAATGATTTTGAAGTGTTTTCTATGTATATTTTTAATCTTTCTCTTAATATCTTTATTTACTTGGAGTTTAATAGCCTTGAAAACAATGAATTGCTAAATTAAAATGAAGAAGGAGAAGCATGCTCAACCATGATTTAGGTGAGGAAAAACATGATGGAAAGATCATATCAATGAGAGGACAAAAAAAAGGATAAAAAAAAAGGGATTGTAATTGGAGTAGAATAGTTGGTAGTGAAGACGTGAGATGAAAGAAGAAAGAAACTAAGTTGGAGAAGGGATAGGTGAAGAGAGGAAAAATTTTCTATTTTATTTTTTAACATATATCCTAAATTAGTTAAATACCTTTACAAGTAATTAATTAAAACAAAACAGAATGTTTTTTTGTCCTAAAATTTGGTGTAAGGTGTTAATGTACTCAAACTAAAAAGGAGTATTAGATTGTTAGTAATCCTAATTTCCCTCGCCCCACATATATAAAGAGATTCACTTATTCTAAGAGTACGTTTACCTAGATTTACTCTACTCAATAATTTATGCTCTACATTAAATTGTTGAATTAATTTTTTTTTAATGTATAAATCAATTCTATAAAATATTAAAATTTAAAAACTATTTGATATTATGTTTAATTAATTCAAATCAATGTATAAAATATTTTTATAAATATTCGTCAATTTGAATTAATAAAATAAAATATTCAATAATTTTCAAATTTTGTAAAACTTTGCAAATTTCATCTATGCATTAGAAACTTTTAATTTAATAGTTAGATTATTAAAATGGAATAAATGTATCAAGAGTATTCAATAAAACATGTTCTACTTCAAATTTAAATCATCTAACTGTCAAATTAAAAATTTATAATACATACATCAAATTTGTAAATTTTTAAAAAAATTGAAAATTATTTGATACCCCGTTTGATTAATTCAAATTGACATATAATCATAAAAATATTTTATACATTAATTTGAATTAATTAAATAAAATATCAAATAATTTTTATATTTTTTAATATTTTATAATTTTTTTTATATATTAAGATTTTTTAATTCAATAATTTGATCGTTAAAATTTAATATAAAACATGAGTAAAATAAGTCTAAATAGATTTACTGTTAAAACCTTCTCATATATATATACACACATAAAAAGGTATTTAAGCAACTTGATTTAGTAGATATCTACTAATACAGATATTATTACATCTATCTTTTTTTTAATATAAAATATATGTACTTGTTATTTGTAAGTATTCATTTAAATCATCTTTTAATTATCTATAATGAATTTTATCGGTAGATATGTGGAATTTTTTTCCCCATCCCTACTTGGAATTTCTCTCAAATTAGAACTGTAAACCCGTGCAAAGGTAGCCTAAAAAAGATGAGAGAAAAAAGAAAATAAGCGATAACAAGTGGAAAAAAAAAAAAAAAAAGTGGACATGCGATATATTAGACAGTAACGAGTAGTGACAGCCGAAGAGATTTATATTAATATAGATAAGTTCACAAACATGAGGTTAATACTAATCACTGTGGAGCATAAACTTGACTGAAAATTTTGGTGCACATCGAAAAAGAGTATGGTTGGATAAAAGTTAAGAACATGTATTTGAAAATTACGACTACGGTACCAAACGAAGAAGAAATAACTTGTTATATGGCATCACCCTATTTCCCAATGCAATTTATAAGACGTACATAGACTTCCATAATCCTTGCAGAATATTGAATTTAACATTTGTAGCAGACCAAAACATCACCGACATTTTATTTACCCCATCCTCCTTAAAGCTCTTGCTTTTGCCATCTCAATAAATCGACGACTGAAAAGTTTATCTCTTAGATTTCTTCGGACCTTCCTTTTTGTTACTGTAAAATTAGGCACCATTTTACAACACAAGTTAGAAGCAACAGAGGTATATGAATGATCACAAAATTATGACAAATAGAGCTCAGATTTTCTAACAGCATGTCACGTCATCTTAACTCACTCTCGAAAGATCAATACACAACTTTGAACAATAATTTAGCCAATTCAGATACTCTAATTTCTCCTCTGGCATACGATTTTTCCTTGAACAACAAAATGGAAACAAACCAAGACACTTGCATAGCAAATAGTTGTTCCCAAGCTTTCCAATTATCTGTATAAGCTTCAAAGCATGTATAATCAACCAGATGCAAAATAAGAATGTGTTTCTGTGAAAATCAAAGTAGCATGCAGGTCTCAGAATAACACAAATGACTTCTAATCAATTAAGCCAAGAATGCCAGTAACCAATCCCAACCAGACATTCCAAATTAATAGTTGAGGCTTTCGATAATCAAACAAAAGACCACACCTGCACCAAAATTTGCTTGTATTTGTCGAACAGATACTCTTCTCAAAAGGGTAAAACTCGGGCCTTTATTTTTTAACCTTGGTTTTGGACATTCTTATTCAACATACCTTGGAGCTAGTGCTTCAATGCATTTGGTAAATGGTACAGTTCTAGTAGGAACGTCTGAAGAGGAAATAAAATGTAACCTGAAGGCTGAAGCTATGGGTTTCTGCTTAAGTAGGCATAAAATGGAGTACAACATGGAAGTAAAGTTCAGTAAGATACGTGCTAGCACTGGCTTGAAGGTGAAATTTGGAAATCAAACCATACAGTTGGGTATCTTGGATCCATCATACAAACTACAGAGTGATGTAAATCCTAGGATTCAAACCAAGTAAAATCACGCCTGTGATTGTTGAGTTTCGGACTTTGAACACATGACAAAAAAGTCCGATAGAAGTCCCAGTTAGAAGAATTGATCAAAAGGAAGATAATTGGTTAAAGTTAGAGGTAGACCAAGAGAGATTTAGAGATAGAGTATGAGACCATGAATATGAATTTGGAATCAAATGGCATCTCAGAAGAATTGGTTTAGGACAAAACCAGGTAGTGTTGTTTGAATAATGAATTCACTAAATAAATCCAACTTGGTGGGAAAAGACTTGGATTGTGCTTGTTGATACTCTTCTCAACAACAATAATATTTCACCCAACTAGGGTGAGCACACAATACCATTGTTCTCAGCCAAATACCAAATTTCTATAGATAAACTCAGCATGAGATTCTTTATAATAATTAGTGAGATCGAAGTTTTTCGTGTTTTTATATTTTATTTAATAAAAATATTTAAGAATTACTAATATTAATTAGATCAATTAGTATTATTTTTGATTCTCAAACCTTAAGGCCTTGAGTTTCGAATCTTATGTTTGTAAAAATAGTTAATTTTTAATAATATTTTTTATTATAAAAATTAAAATTTAAGGGTAAAGCTATCTAAAAAAAATGTGTAGACTAAATCAAACTATCACCTTTATATATGTTATAGATTATAGATTTTCTCTAATATCCTTGATTTTCTTCTACCCTTTTTCACAAGGCTAAAAACAGCTACTTTCCTATTCAGTGTCTCCATTAATCTTCTTTACACATGTCCAAACCACCTTAATTGATATTGTGTCATCTTCTCCTCAACAGGTGACACGCTAATATTTCATCTTACACAATTATTCTCCATCTTATTCATACATCCATTTTAACATTTTCATTTGTTATTGATACTCTTCTCAAAATGATTGAATATGAAAGCCATCAAAAGGTGATATTTGAATCCCAAGAAGTAAGATAAGACATAGTGAATGTTATACTTACTTTAGGAATGAATGCTGAAAATTTATTTATAGCATATATAATAGTGTTGTTGCAGGTTTCATGAACTATTAGTTAAGTACTTAAGTTGTAAGAAAGACTAAGATCCAAGATGGAAGATTGGGTGTCCATTTATCAGAAGGAAACCACACATTATACCTTGGGTTTGAGTCAGTGGCAGTTCCCACAGAGGGTGCTCCACCACGTCCGAAGGCAACCTCGTCCATGCTTTGTCCTTGTCGCCTATACCTACCGCCAGATGCCACAAATGCCGGGCATGGCCTGTAAGCCTTTATGGGCCACCACCCAAAGCCCGGTACTGTTGCTATTCCACCCTGAATTCTTCCTTCACCATTGCATTCTTTCTCCACTTCTTCTCTCCCACATGCCTTGCAACCACTGCGAAAAAACACCTCAAATTAGTTGCAGTCTATAAAGAAAAAGATCTAAACACTATTTTCATGGTACATGGAATTATGATGGCAAATCAAATCATTGCACCTCGCGTATTCTGATTGACCAACAACGGGAAGCTCATCTGCTGAAGGTGAAGGACCCTCTTCGATAACAGAAGTTGGAGTGGAAGGAGAGCATAGAGGAACGGTTAACTTGGAGGAAGAAGAAAAAGAAAGAGAAGGGTAAGTGGGAGTTGGCCACGAGTATTTGTAGGTGCAAAACTGAGGCGTCGGAACTGAGAAAACAGATATTGTCATTCTCTCTCCTCTCGTGCTCTCTGTCTGGTGGATAACGTGCACCACTACTTTAATTTGATTAACTTCTCCAAAATGTGAGGCTGCTAAGTGCTTACGAGGTGGCCACTTCACACTTCACAACTTGTTACTAGCATCTCACCAGGAATAAGTTACCTGGGCAGGCTCCGACAAGTATTATTGAAAGTTTTGTCAAACATTCATGTATCGTATTCAAGGTTTATTATAGTTAATCAATATCGAAATTATCCGTTAACGATTCTTTTAACAACTTAACAAAGAAAAAACGGTTCTTATAACAAACAAATTAACTTTCGCTAACATTTCTTAGACCGTGATTTTACTTGATTATCTTCAAAGACTGATGAATGCATTCTGTTTGGAAAATTACCGCACATTTTCAAATTATACTTTCTTCGTTTTTGTCTGTGACATCCAAAATTTGTTAATCATCGCCTTGTCGGAGATTTAAGTAAAAGCAGTACTTGTCGGACCACCAATTGTGAATCTCTCATAATCATGCTTTACAATAAAATCATGATTTGGTTAGAGCATATGATTCAAAATTCAACTCAGGAAAAAGATGCACCCTAGTACTACTAGGATGCACGACAAAAATGGAGAATGCTTGTGCAATTGCTCCCACCCCCATGACTGTTCAGCCTTGCTTTTCACAAATCTCAGTCTAAAGATTGGATGCCTGCGAAGTGCTGATCCAACGTATCATTCACAGGTAACCCCTCTCCACCCACCTTTTTGTGTTTACTTTATAATCCAATTACTGTACTTATAACTCTTTTTCTGGCACCATTGCAACTTCCTGTCTTATATACAGTGTAAAAATGAAACTAAAATTGGAAACTAAAAAAAGGATCTTCCAAAGAAATCACGAAAATTTCAAGCATCTTGCTTCTGCAATTAAAACCACCTTTTGTAACCAGTATCAGTCATAACAATGTATCATCTCTCTCACTATTATCCATGCACAATCTGATGGTCCACCTCCCCATTCATCACAGAACTGTGATGATGAACCATATACCATCGTCCATTATGAAACTCAAAAACATTGGTCATATTGAATGGTCCTGTATCCATGTCAACGTATGTTTTCATGGTAACCCAAGCCATGTCTGTCAAGACACGGGCACGTACATCTCGAACCTGAAAGTTCAACCCTTGCTCCCAGTTGAATACGATTTGCCAACTCTGCATTACTGCATTATACCTGTATCATGGATGAATATGTTACTGAATGCAAAATTGCCCGCCAGTAAGGGAGACATTGGATTAAGGTAAAAAAACATGGATACATAATTCCACATGCTTGCAAGAACTTAAAAAAGAATTATAATATGGAATAGAATAAACATGATTTTTTTCCAATATCACAAATATTCTATCATATGTTCAAAGTGCTTATATCTCTGGAGTATCAAGTTCCACAGTAATGCAAAACCAGTATTACGGGCCAGAAACTAGTTACTCTAGGGTTTCAATCAAAATATCCAAGTTAATAGACTTTTGCACCACCATATTGCTTACATGTGTCTCTGCACTAGGGAGACACCCCGTCTTAACAGAATTAAAAAAAAAGGAGAAAAAGAGAAGGGAACCAAATGAAAAGATGTTTTTCTTATCCCCAAAAATCAGTGCTATATGGGATGAAACTTTGCACAGGTAAGAATAATATATTTCATTTCTGATCCGAATAAGAGACCAGCTGTACAGATTTAAATTATCAATAAAAAAATTAAATTCAATGACCTGTATCAAATATAAGCACCGAAGAAATTTTTCCAATTTGATATATATGGGATCCAATAAACAATCTCCTCAAGTATCACAGCATATAAAATTCATGCCACAACAAGAAATAAACATGAACAGCACGTCCAAAAATACAAAAGAAGATATTCTTACAAAATGGATACGTTAACACAAAGCAGACTAACTACTCAAGAAACAAAAAAATCTTACCCAGAAAAGAGTTCTCCTGAGGCATGAATGCACTTCACATAATCTGCATTCAGCCAAAAACGACTCATTGCTGGAAGAGACTTATCTCTTACAATGTTGAAGAATTCTGTATTAATATTCACAATTGCTCTTGTTGCAGCATAGTAAGCTTTCCACCCATTAGTGGGTGTAACACTATCTTGTTCCAATGTGAAGTCCTAAAAACAGAAATTCAGAAATGTCATAACTAAATATACTTGGGACTAAATGAGAATGATGGAATTTGTCTAAAGAATACAATGAAAGTAATCACCTATATTCTCAGTTTGATAGGACATTAGAGCATATTTATTATTCATGTCAATTATTTTATGCCTTTATCCTACTACAAAATCACTTCCCCTCGTATTATTTCATCATTCTACTCCTCCTAAACTTCAAAACAGGGCAAAGGAAGAGAAGAAACAACACTTATTTGAAATTGTTTGTGGTGGTGAACTAAGATAAGGGAGTAATGTGCAACAGATAAATCCACTACTTTCTCCGGATAAACCCCAAAGGCAACTATGAATTTGAGGAATTCTGCAAAGCAATAGCACTACAGCATATTTAACAACATTGCAACGGACCAATCCACATTGCCTCCTATTCAGAGGTTTTGCCAAGACAGGTAATTCTACCTGTTTATTCATACTTCCAAACAGACATCAATAGCATTTTCTTCTATATAATAATCAAGGAAAAGCACACAAACAACACTTCATATGTTTTTCCATCATCTATTGTTCCAAACAGATGCAACTACTCTAAACTTAACCCAGCTTCTTGTTTTCAAGAAGCCTTATTATGGTGGCATTGCACCGAGAAGAAAGCCTCGCATACAAAACAAATGGCACTGAGATTTTACAAGATTTAAAAAGAACTCCTAACATGACTCAATTCAAAGTTTTCCGCGAACTAAAAATGAAAGAAGCAATTAGGGCCAAAAACGTAATCAACACCTATAAAAAGAAAAACAAAAAAAGAACAAGAAAGTGGAAAACCCTGCGCTGCAAGCATTATTTATGGGTACTCTACAAAAACGGTGGAAAAGAAAAGGCTAAAAAAAATAAAATTCCTAACAGTGACTAACGATTTTGGGTGTCTATTAACTACTAATTTATCATGAGACAAGAATCAAAGAGAAAGCGAAGCACGGGAATTAGAATTCACCTTGTGATAAAGGGCCTTCCAAGCATTATCATCATTGGCGGCCTTTCGCATCGAAGAATTGGTCATGGAAAGGCGACAGAGACTGGGATAATCCAAGTAACTGAGCGCGTGCGTCGTAATCTCCGGAACCAGTTCCTCCATCATGGAGGACCCCGTCCGCCGCTCCGCCAAGGGCGCCGGCGCCGGAACGGGAGAGGGCTGGAGCATTTGCGCGGCGCCGCCGTTGAGGTAGGGCGCGGCGGAGTCGGAATTGGAAGCGCAATCGCAGTGGTGCTTCCGCGGCGGCGTGAATCTCCGGGGCAGGGAGTAGGATCGGAGGAGAGAGAAGAGCGCGAAGAGGAAACAGAGCGCAGTCACGGCGACGGCGACGAGGGACGGTTCCGACAAGACAGAGAAAATCTCCATTCATAAGACATGAAAACAACTCGGCATTCGAATAACATCAAAACCCTAATTGTCTATCTGCTTATTGTGTGTATAAATAGAAAGAGAGAGAGAGAGAGAGAGGTATGTATATATATTCCTTGTGGCGAGTGAAGTGACCTTCAGTTTTGTTCCCAATTCCGAAACCCTAGTTAAGTTTGAGGGATTGAAGAGGAAGGAAAGTGGCGGTGTTAATCTCACACACTCCAACTCCAACTCCAACGTTCTGCTCTCCCTCTGCCTATTGCCTATTGCTCCGTTGGTTGGTCAAATATTACCATAACGCTTCCATTTTGTTCTTCCTCATCAAATTAATTCATTTTTCATTAGTTTAACGCCAACCTTTGCCACGCACCTTTTAATATGTTTATCCCTTTCTAAAGGGGAAGAGCCACATTGTGTCTCAATTAAAATTAATAAAACCGTCTCAAAAAATATTATATCAAATAAATTGATGCCTAAATGAGTTCATTTACTTTATAGTTAACTAGTTACATTTTTCCGTTCATGGTTATCTGAAAGGTAATAATTTACAGTGTGGAATTTACATAAAAGTATAAATAAAAAATGTAATTTACATGAGAGTAATTGAGGAATAAAAATGGACAAAAAAATGTGTACATGAAAGATGCATATCCCTTAATTAACAATATTATAGTTATAGATAGATTATAGATTATTAAATTCCATGTTTATGTTTTCTTTTTTAGAAGTCATGCTTATATATATATATAGTTTAGTTACTTCCTCTATACTTCTTTTAATAGTTTGCGTGCACATTTTTATTTGAATGAGCATATGTTCCAAGAGTTATATTGTCTCATAAGGATGTTGTTGTTAAGCTCTTGGGAAATACCATGAATTATAATATGATGAAAGAAAAACTCTCAATTATTTGAAAATTTAGAGGTGGTTTTAATATTATGGATGTTAATGGGGGCCGTCAAAGGTGATTTACACATGGAAAATTTATTTTAGGTGTGAATGATTTTTGTTTTTTTACCATTACTTGACAAAAGTGAAATGAAATCTAGATTTTGTTTCCCCATATGCTAAAATGGAAAAAGGAAGAAAAAAAAAACATGTTTCGAATATAATTCACTATTTAAATTCACTTTATTATGATGAAAGTTTTTCCTTTGATGATTGTTTTAGTGGATAGATCTATTAAGATGAAAATAAAGTTTTTTGTTCGAAGTCGATCTATAAGATCGATACAAAAATATGACTTAACGACCATTGATGCGAAATTAAGTAATAAGGCCTTCACATAATTTTTATTGAGTATGATTTTACTAGACACTTTATCATAAAATTGTATCACAAAATTCAAACTCAAAAAAATTAATGGTATCCTCAATTAGAGGCTAATATACTCATCACATGTAACATTGAATTCAATTTTTACAAATGACAAAATCAATTGTTATCACCACCTCCTGTCAAGCCAAAATAAAAATCATATTTGCATGGAGATTAACTTATTATTAGGAGGGAAAAAATGTAACACAATCAATACAAATAATATGGAAACAAAAATAAGAGTGGATTTATTTCAACTAAATATGATGCAATTTCCGTTTTCGGAGACAAGATTGAACTAATGGTCATAAAACAAATCATGGACGGTAAGTAACATTAAATCCAAATGCTGTTATAACCAAAGGCAAAAAAAAAATGACAAAAAGGTATGTTCATATTAAATTTTAAGTCATCATCTAAATTAAAAAGATTGATTTAGACAAATACATTTGAAAATAGTTAACCATCGATATTTAAATTGATGTGAATATACTACTATGAAGAGAAAAATTAATTTTATTATAATGACTTCTTTTATTTCTTCATTTAATGTTAATCTTAAATAGTTTAATTTTATCATATAACATCTTACCTTTGCCTCTCTCTCTCTATTTTGGAGTGTTGTCTCCTTAAAGACAAAATCATTCTTAAGTAAATTTTACTACCTCATCCCTTTGAGTTTTAATCTGTCTATCTTGTTTTTATTTTATTTATTAGAATTATAATGATGACATCAAAATTTAAACTTAAAATTTTATACAAAATCCTAATTCCCACTCTTAAGTCAATCAAGTAATTACATCTTGTTTTAAAGTTTCAATTGTTTTATTCTTTACTATCCTTGTCATTCATTCCTTTACATCTCTCACCATCATTCACAGTGTTTTATTTTTCTAAATTATTCATTGGTAATGGTCATTGTATTTTTTTAATTTAGTTTTGTATTGGGAATAAGATTTTGCAAACAAATTGTTTTATATTTGGCTATCTGTTGTCATGGCTCTAACCCATGTTTGCAACATTGAATGCGCATTTTCTTTAGTCTAACCAATATTTGGTTTAACCATTGCATATTGTCTCAAATTAATCTATCATAAAATCAAATGAGCTAAAGCAAGGCTTTGATCTAGGTCAGTTGCATATCCTAATGGAACATGAGTTAATTTAGTGTTTAGAGTTTATGATAAATTAAGAACAGAGTCTAAGGTGGCAACATTTTGAATCAAATGTTAAGCATAACTTTATCACTTAGTAAATGTGATTTGTAATTGTTGTGTTGGTTCATGTTCAGTGTTCCTTTGATTTTAACTTTATAAAAAAAAAAAAACATTTATGAGAAACTCACATTTATTTCACTGTATGACAAGTAGAGATTACTGAATACATACTAAAGTAGTTACCTAGAAATATATTACTAGAGTTTGAATTTCTATGACTGTGTTAGAACTTGAAAGTATTGATGGTAGCATTAAATGTCTTATTTGACTTTTGCTTTAATCAACGGGTTTTGTTTTACGTTGAAATTTAAATTGGTATTACTTGATTATTTATTAACTAATTATCTGGTCAGTTTTTCGCTTCTCTTCATTCTTTAATGTAATATTCATTTTTTACTAGTAAATTAGTAATGCTATACACATCGTTATACATCTTTTTAATACTTTATAAAAATATTAAATGAAATAGTAAATATATTTAATGTTTTAGAAACATAATACAAACACGTACAAAGAATAGTAAAAAGGTATTAGAGAAGGATTTAAAAATATCGTTCCAAACATTTTCACAATGAACATGAATTTACTTTACGAAGTATGTTAGTTATCCAAAAAAACTAAATATGTTGGGACGTGATTAGTTAATTAACCTCCGACTACGAGGCGTGATTGTTTACGGTCGATTTCGTTTATGAGTCCTTTTTACTCAAACTAGCATCAAGGTGTTTCAATTTAGATATTTTAGACGTTCGCGTTGTTTAAGAATGGAAGTACACGTCAATAATTACCAAAAGTCAGTTTCCAAATCTTCATGGATTACAATTAACCAATAATTTGCATGCATGTAAATACTTAAACGCACAGTGTAATTGAAACATACAGTGGCAATACAAATTATAGTTCAATTTGCATAATGATCAAATTACAATTAAAATGTTGAGGCATAGTAATCAAAGTACAATTACACAATTACACTATGTGATTAAGAAGAAAAACTATACTAATCCTAATCCTAAAAGCAGAAAAGAAAAGTGGCCGAGAAGTGGTCATACAAAAAAATAATTCCTTGCACGAAAGCCATATGCGCAGGCGGAAAGTGCTCGAGAGAGTTATAAGTATGAAATTTCCAACCTTTGTGAAAGGTTATGCTTCTTCTATTTATAGAGACTCTCGAGAGCAATTATCTTTTGTATGCATGTGTCGTGGGCTCGTAATTGCTATCCACTACGTAAAATACGTGGCTTAGAAAGTAACTTCCTCTAACCGTTCTTCCCACGTGTTTTATTTCCTTGATCCGCACTTTAATAACTACCTCGGTGTAACCCTAAGAAATCTTTGATAACTTCTCTATTTCTTCAAGCATATCATTGTTTTACTCGAAATAATTCTTTTTCGATCTCGAACATCTGTTACTGTCAAGTGTCTTGACTTTATATTATTTTTCGAAGAATTTCATGCAATATTTTGACTCATATAGTTTTCGAGTAGGCCTAACATAGTAACAGTGATATATCAAATTACTACAAAAAAAAGGGTCATCCATTTCTGTACCATGCAAAACCATAAAGCAAATACTATACGAAAGCAAATTGAGGATGCCTCGAGGAAACGAGCTACAATAAATTTATGTACAATTATACTTGAAAGTGCAATATTAAATTCAAATACAATTTTATAAAAGAGAATAACATATGTTTTCTTTACTAATAAGAAATAATATATTATATTAAATATGATTAAATTAAAGTGATACATTCTAAAAACTGGTGAGAAAATTATAAAATTAGAATACACCACTTGCTTATGAATATGATGTGTCAAAATTCAAATTACGGTTATTATAATTTTAAAACTTAATTTATTTGAATATAAAGATTTATTTATTTTAATACAATATATTTCAACAATTAAAATCTCAAACATTAAATTTAAGAAATAATATTTGAAAGAAATAAAATTTCAAAAATAAAATAAAATGCTCAACCTATAAGAAATCACATTATTTATTGAAAATAAAAGTAAATCTTATAAATGATCTTATTTAAAAATGAGAAATCAGATTTATAATAATAAAATCATATTTCTTTTAGATTTTCTTCATTCAATTTAAGATCTTTACCGTGTGCCCAAGCATTTTTTTTAGAGAGATGTTCAAACATTACTAGGTACCTTTGATGGTGTTTATTATCAAAATTTGTCATCATATGAAATAATTTGATTTCTATCTTACACACATAACTTAAATATTTCTTAATCCCTCAAATTTAAAATTGATCTTTTTAATTCATGTAATTTTAAAAAAATTATTTTAATTTTTATACTTATTTTTTTTATAGAATTTATCAAGTATTGTCACATAAAATCTACTTATTTGTATATTTGTTAGAACATCTCCAATGGGGGTTGCTTATAAACAACCCTCTATGTCACATCACTGCCACATCAGCTCTGGCTTACTTTATGGGTTGCTTAAATTTTAGCAGAGTTGTTTGTAGAAGCAACTCTGCTAAAATTTAAGCAACCCATAAAATGGGTCAGAGCTGATATGGCAATGATGTGGCATAGGGAATTGCTTATAAGCAACCTCCATTGCAGATGCTTTTAGTGAAAATACAACATTAAATTTGGTATTGTATAATTGTCTCAATTTATCACTTTCACTTTTAAATATGTTATTAATGACTTGAGGGATTAAAATAATTTTTTTAAAATTATAAGACTAAAAAAATAACTTTAAATTTGAGAAATTAAAAATAAATTTATCTCAAATTTATATATATAAAATAAAATTTACCCTTCCATAATTAGAGTTCCATTTTATTAGTTGGTTATTGAAATGACAACTTTACCGTGAAAGTAACAATACACAATTAAATGATACTAACATGGAGATGATACTCACCTAATAACATGTAATTAAGAGCCAAAATATACAATATTTTGTAAATATAAGGATAAAATGCAATAAAATAGCAAATGATAAAAAAAATTTGATATTTATTGTCATTGAACTTCCTTCAACCTTTCTAACCTACAAATGCTACAAATTACAGTGTTTGTTGTCTTTGTATATTTTGCCTCATATTTCAAAATATTACAAATTGTTTAAACTTCTAAAACATTGCACATTTTCTCACTTAATTAAACATCGCACCATCAATTTCTTATGTCACGTTAAAAGTCAGTTAAGGTAATGGTTTCTTAACAAAGAGAAGGCAAAATTAAAAAAAAATATATAATTAAAATATTTGAGGGCAAAACATGTAAAAAAATTCTATAAACAAAAGTCGTAAAATCGTGTAACTTCAAGGATAAAGTACACAATTAAACTTATAAAACACAAAATTTTCTATAAAAGACAAGATAGTAACCTTGGATAAAATTTTAGAGGAATACACAAATTTTTTTAAAGTAGGTAAGATAATATATCTTACAAGTAAAATAAATGTACTGACACATATTTTCATATTTTTAATTTAGCTATTTTATATTTGCCAAAATCTATATTAATTTTATAAATAGAAATATCATATATCCTTAAAATATTTTGTTATCATAATATACATATAAGTACTGAACAGTTAACATACGTTATTTTAAAAAATATCTATCGAGAATATTAAGTAAATAATAAGTGTTCTAACTTTATTTTGAACTAATCTATATTTAAAAGTATTTCAATAGTAAGTCGGACATCGTTAAAATTATTGCGTCGTAAGCATCTATTTTAACATTTGTACAACCATCACAGTTTAATCATTAAAAAAAATATCTTGATGGATTAAAGAGAAAAAATATTTATAAACTACTCTTAACTTCAATTTATAAATAACGTGAAACTTTTATAATTTACTTTTACTTGTAATGTTAAAAAAAATGAAATGATCATTTCTATAAACGATAGCATGACCAATGCATGGTAAATTATGACAATTTACTCAAGACAGCATTTCAAATTTTCTTTCTGAAAATGGAAAGGAAATACGCCTCTTAAAAATGTTATAATGAATAGCGTTTCATACAAATTGCGTGATCAAAATTTATGGCTCAACAAATACATATACTTTCGTCGTCACTGAAAAAGCTAAGCTTTGAAGTAACCCTTCATGGTTCATATGGAAGGAACCTCACCGAAGTGCAGCTACCAAATCTGAAACACTGGTTGGTCAGGAATCAAGGAATAAATTCTTGGTTTTAGATTGAAGATTGAGAAATAACTCATATGGTTTCTTCGTTTGGTTTTAATGCATACTCCAGATCATGCACTTGTTCATTGGTGAAGGGAAGGTTGCCAGCATTTTCCTCTTCCTCCTCCAAAAGATGTAAAGGTGTTTGTGAAGGGTATTTGCTCAAAATGAACTCTATTTCATCACCACTGATCTCCTTCTGATCGAGAAGAACCTGCAGTGCCAATTCATAAGCGGTCAAAGTCATCAGTTGTCACAGAACTTTTTTGAGAGCATTTTTATTGAAAATAAAAAGTTTTTTTTTCAATACAAAAACTCTTAAAAGCACTTATAGTTTGTATCCAAACAAACTCGTAATTCTAACAATCCACAAATTAATATAACTCCTTTTCAGATCTCACTCCAAGTTACCTTAATAGTTTTGAGCAAAGCCGCATGGTGACTCCTAAGGAGAGCGACCATTTTTCCGTACATGTCACGGATCAACTCTTCAGTTCTTTGAGCAACTTCATCATCCATCTTAAAATTTAGTGGGGGTTCAATCAAGTTGTAGTCATCATAAAGAGACCCTTCAAAATCCAACCTCGGTCCAACAAATTTTACAGACTTCCTCCAAGGTGGTGGTTCTCCATGTATGACCATTGGATTCTCCAAATTCCATCTGAAAGTAGAGGGGAAAAAGGAGTTTATGTAGCACAAGAAAATAAGCAGAAGCTTAAATGTATAAAAATACAAATAATTATGCCAACATGGTTAATATTTTCCGAGCAAGCCAGGATGCATCTGCAAGGTAATCAACTGAGGCTTTTGATGTATCACGTCCGTATATGACCTCCTCGGCAGCTCTACCTCCAAGCAGAACCTGTTTGCCAGAAAAGGCTCATACTGAAACAAATAATCTGAACAAGAAGAAAAAAGAAACTCATAAAGGGTATATTTACATACCTGAAGGCGATGTAGCAATTGAGGTCGACGTTCAAACATATATGATTCGTCATCTAGTCGGTGAAATACCAATTGAGATAATGTCTGCCAGATGGAAGCCTTTTTGGTGAGTAAAAATTATAGAAACAAACAGCCTTAAGTAGCATAGTTTGAAGTAAAAGCCAACCAACCAGGTATGTAAAATATGATAGCCTTACACATATGGAAATAAAGTAGCATATATTTCAAATAGTCTTCATACAGATTTTACTTCCACTTCATTTCTATTTGGAGCCACATTTTCTACCAACACCTTGATTATCACATCTTTTAAACACATTTTTCTAACTTTATATACTGTTTCTTGTCTTTTATCTCCTTTTTTAATTCACATGATTGAATTTTTTTAATACTTTTCTGTACCAGATTCTCCCATGTTACAGTATGAGCCTGTGGTGCAGATGTATCATATATCTATTCTTTTTTATTAATTTCCCAACAAGTACTAGCAATACCTAAAATATGAGAATAGGGAAGACGAACAAAATACTTCTAGAACATAGTAGAGGATAATATAGTGAAGGAAGCTGAACAAGGACCTGACCACGAGGTACTATTGAAATGCGATCTAGGCATTCAACTTTTGCATGTTCATATCGCCGGAGCAGATGAGAAGTTAATGCAACTCCCACTTCTGTAGTAGCTCTACGACATTGTCCTTGGTAACCTAATTCTATTCCCACACGTTTAGGTCCTACCGTAAGTCTGTCAACTGCATCATCCATATCTGGCTGAAGAATTGAGTTGTGCCGTTTCCTCACAGCCACAAGAGCAGCCTCTTGAACCAATTGTGCCAATCTTGCTCCACTCCATCCTGAAATTAAGATGTGAGTTCAGACATGAGAATGAAAAGTTCAATAAGCAAAACAGGAGTCCATACCTGGTAGGTTCTGTGCATAGCTAGATAAATCAACGTTCTCTGACATTTTTACTTTGCCAGCATGAATTTTTAAAATATCCAGTCTTCCTTTTGCACTAGGAGGGCGAATCCTGATCTACAGAAGAAAAATTCAGTGAACATTTAGCATATTACAAATGAAAAAACTACATAAAACATCAAATATAATCAAGAAAACTTGTGAAAGTGGTGGATACGTAAGCTACTGTTTGCAACAGAAGATTTTATAACAGCATTTATTCATTTAATAGAAAAACCAAAGGTAAGCCACTGCCTGATTGTATTCTTTAAAAATTGTTATATAAAACAATTTTCAAAAACTACTTTTTAGATAGTATAATTGGGGAAAGAAGATATGAGGGAGTGCAAGGTAGAATATGAGTAATAGAAAACTGAAAGTAAAAAAACAAAGCAACTCGGAGATGTTCTGTTTTTTTATTTTAAAAAATATGGAAAATATATCTTTTTTTAAAACAGATTCTAAAAACCACATATTAAACACGTTTTCTGCTTCTTTTGGTTTTAAAAACAGAGACCAGTTTGGAAACAGGAAACAAACTAACCCTTGTGCTCATTCTCTCTCAATTTGCCCCTATATTAGAAAAACAAAATACTTTGCTCTGAACCCAACCAAAAGTGAGAAAAAAATCACTAACTCAGCTACACAAAGCAACCTTGCGATCGAAGCGACCCGGACGAAGAAGTGCTGGATCTAACAAATCCTTACGATTTGTGGCGGCTAGAAATATGACACCCTTTCCAGTATCAAAACCATCAAGCTCTATCAACAATTGGTTCAATGTAGTTTCCCTTTCCTGGGTGGCTGCATTATACAGGTGATCTGTGGACTCCTTGAAAATACCTTGACGCCTGGTCAAGCATTAATTTCACAATCAGGTAGAGTGGATGCTTAGGGGACTAACAAGTCATTGACAGATGCAACCAAGCAACATCACCAGCTTGGAAATTATTTGGAAAGTAGGATTCATTTGTGTATGCATTGAAAAAACAAAAAAATATGATGCAACTTTTTTTCAAAAGCTACAGTGCTTACTTCTTAGTTTCTAAGAGACGCACTGGAATAGCTTTTTCTTGAAGTTTTTGCTCTTCTTTTTATTTTAAAAAAATAACTAATAACTATAACTTTTTCCAATTACAAAGTTCTTTTCTTTAAAAAAATAAAAAACAAACCAAAGAGAAACAATCACTAATCATGAACTAAAGTGAACTTCCCAGAAGTATCCCATGACCATGTGCCAAAAAATATTATGGTAATGCCTGTAAGCACGGACTTAAAAATATTACAACAAAACAAACCTAATGTCACACACCCTATGCATTCTGATTTGTAAGAACAGCATATGTGAGAAACAATACCTAGATTAGACCAACCAATTGATCAACAATGCATGCCACATTGGGGCACTAACAAAGGAAGCTCACAAGTCACTATGACTAGTGGGTTCAATAATATATATAGATGTTCAATTATGATTCTAGGCCTGCTAAATTACTTGACATTTCATTTGGCTCAAGGTTGTATAATATAGACATTATAAATTCATTCTCTACTAAATATGTGAATATGCCATGGACACAAACAATCCACAACTTTATATAATCTATCAAGTTATAAACTCATAACATAAGTCCATATAGCCATACTTAGTTGCCAACGCATCAATTTCATCTATGAACACGACTGATGGTTTGTTTACCTGCAGAGAGAAACAAACATTTGAGTACCCATCAATTGCTAGCTCTCCAAGCATAAAAACGTGAAAATCTACAATTTATAGTTTAAAAATTTAACCAATAAAAAAGAAGCTTTATACTAAGCCATATCTCTTGTTGAAACAATATCCTACTTCTTCATGACACAAAGCATCTACCCATTTTTTGCAACAAGCAAAGCAGATGTAATGAATTTACCAAATAAAAAAAATGCAAACTTAAAAGAATGTCCTTAAAATTATTTCTACTACTAGAGAGCAAAGAACTAAAATGCATAAAAGTTGACTAGTTTTCATTAAGCTATTGCTATCCTGATAAAGCAGTTGAAAATTGTCATATGAATCAAAGGTCCTTGAAAATGTTGAATAAATTTGATTAAACAAAGCAAAAAGGACAAATAAATACTGTTTCAACCCTTAATTAGTCACCTCTTAATTCACATACACAGAAGGACTATGTGATTAAAAGTTTAAAACAACACGTACACAATGCTTTTTAAGTTAGCCTAACATCATGTGGAGGAACATGAAAGCAGGACGCAAGAACCTGAACAAATTAGCAGCAATACATAATTTTAAAATGAAATATCATAAAAATAGAAGTAGTATCACCTTGGCTCTTTTAAATAAATCCCTAATTCGTGCAGAACCAACACCAACTAAAACTTCCACAAATTCTGATCCAGCCATTTGGTAAAATGGAACACCAGCTTCACCAGCTATAGCCTTGGCTACCAAGGTCTGTAAAAATATGACAAAGCTTCAACATACACCAGACAACACAGACTCTTACATCCAACATAACTGGAGAATAAGTATCTGACCTTGCCACATCCGGGAGGGCCCTCAAGAAGAACACCATGCGGAGGTTTGATCCCCATTTTATCAAACAACTCAGGATTTTTTAGGTATCTCACCAACTAAACAAAATCATAAATAAGTTGTCATCAAATACAATAAACAAAGAGACAACAAAATAAGGCATAAGAATAAAATGCAGAAAATAAAAAAATATATATAGAAATTAGAGGAGAGATGCTTATAATGTCAAGGAAAAATTCAGGAACTAACTATTGAGAAGGATAAAGTTATATTATTCAAAATAGTTAAAGGAAAATTGGTTATTAGTTAATGAGAGGCCTAGTTTCTCCAGTTTAGGGTTTAAGGTTCAAGACTTAGGGTTTAGGATTTAGGGTTAAAGGATAATATGAGGCCCAATTTCTCCAATGTCTTCTTTATGAAGTTGCTTAAGCATTAATGCATTGGCTGTTTGTAATTGTGCACGGCTGCATATCAAGTTAAAACTCTAATATTTGTGGGCTGCTATGCCAGCCAGAAAGATGTCTAACACAGAGATCAAGGAGGAATATATGCCAGATTTTCCTCAAAAAAATTCATTTCATTTATTTATTTTTGGTTATAATTGTTCTTTTATTGTTGTCTTACAGAAAATGACCTCACCTTCTGCCCTTTTTTAAAGGGTGACATGGCACCAGCAGACAGGAAACATGTTTGCAAGCTCATAATCAGAATCAGAAATGTATAAAAGAATTACCTCTTGAAGTTCCTCAACTGCCTCATCAATTCCAGCCACATCACAAAACTTGACTCCAGTTGAACCCTGAAACGATGTCATTCCAAAGCTAGAAATAAGAATAAGTGAATAGTATTAAAAGAAAATTAAGACTAGAAAACTAAAATAACATTAAAAGATTTAAAGACTAGAAAACTAAAAAATAACTTATAACGTTAAAAGATTTTAAGAATAGAGACTAAAACAAATGTAGGTGTTAACACACATCAACGCGAGCTTCAGCTTTTGATCGTGAGAAGTCTATTCCCTGCCAAAGATCCTGTATGTCAAAGAAACATCTCTTAGAACATACTAATCAAGTAAATCCACGGAACAAAATTGGTTCAATAATTCATGCACAATATGAGTAAATCACTGTCACATACCCACTTCCTGAAATTTTTAGGTCTTCTTGAAAGAGTGAAGCGAACAAGAAGGACCATAGTCAAAACTACAAGCATAATTGGTTTCAATGCCTCGAGACTGGCAGAAAATCCACCAAAAGTGTAAATCTCAGATATCTTAGAGAAAATGCCACCATCACTGAAAAAATCAACAATATTATCCCAAATCTTCTCCAAAATTGCTAGTGCAAGACCAAGAAAAAGCTTGAGGAATGGTTTGGCTATAGGCCACGCAACATAGACAGCCATCACAAATACAAAACTGGTGGCAGCAAACAAAGCTGATGCAAGGAATCCACCAACTATAATTGCTGCGAAACACATGAAGACTGTCACCACTGCAAGCTCAACCACCACTCTGCTAGATATGGAAGATGCAACTGGATGAGGGTACTCCGGCATTTTCCCCACCCAAGACTGCAACAAAATAATTTAAGAGTTAAAAGAACAATACCACTATGATCACCCACAAAAGTATCTATCTCGCTCATGCATCTTGCTGAATGACTCGAACTTAAAGTCTCTGACTACGACCTATGCAACAGACTATATAATATATAACTTAAAATAAAAAACATAAAACAAGCAAATCTAATTGACTTCCCCCTCTTTGCACTAACACTACCTAATAATAATCAAAAGATTTAGTCCCTAGTCCCTACATAGCAATTTATCATTAGCAGAAAATATTTGTAGCAGTTTATATTACCAGACCAGAATGTCTTTCAAGGACCAAAACTTAAATTTTATACATATATAGGGACTAAAACTTGCAATTTTATATTATCGTGACTAAAATTTAAAATGCAGACAACTATAGGGGCAAGTGAATAATTTAACCAAATCAAAATTATTTAAGCGTGAACAAGAAAAAGATTAACAACCATGGTATTCCTCCTCTCTATCTCATATCGCGGTCCAGTGTAGTCCGACAAAATGGCTTGAGCTTCCCTGTTACCCAGCCTGAGAACCCTGCAAAGTTACACACACAATCACAACTATCACAATGCAATGCACATAGAAACAAGGTGCATAACCAACAAGGTGACCCCATTCTTTTCTACCATTTGGTTGTGTGCAAGCTTTTATCACCAGGAATTTCCTTCAACTCCACAATGAAATCCCTAAAACCACCTCCACCTCCCTTTGAAATTATCAACTTTACTTTGTCTTTACTCATGGCCTTCCTGAAGTCCTGAATGCTCATTTTGGGCAACTCTTTTGAATCTCTGTCAAACTCTTCTTCCTCTGACAACTCAGTGCCAAAAATTTGCTCAGGCACGTAGAGTTTCCCTCTATACTCCTTCAGCAAGTCTTTCAAATACACAGAGTCTCTCTCTCCCGAAACCTCACTCTCTCTCTTGCTCTGAGGCTTCGTCGGGTTCAACCTCTTCAACACATCGAAGATACCCACATTGGGCAATTTGCCCAAACTCTCCTTTTCTTTCAAAGTATAGAACTTTTCGCCAATTAGGTGCTTGGGTTGCAACTGGCTCGGGTTTTCCTTGAGAACGCGGCCCACGAAATCGTCCGAACCGGGTTCGGCACTCGCGGAGGTGGATTTGCAGAGCACTGTGGATGGCCTGCGAAGAAGAAGAAGGTGGGTGGGAAGGTGCCTCGGAGTTTGCTTCGGCGTTCCATGGCGGTGGGGGTAGCGAGATTTGGTGACGTGAAAGTGGGGCGAGGAGAGAATGTTCATCGTTCTGGTGAATTCATAAAGTGAATGAATGCACGAGAAGGGTTTATGAAATTAGGGTTTTGTGCAACATGAGGAGATGAGATTGAAATGGAAAATGGTAATCTTCAAGTGATGCTGTTTTGGTTTGAGTTTTTCACCCAATCGGATAAAGCTTACTGCCTTTGGGCTCTGCTCGTCTTGTTTCTAGTTCAGATAAAAAGGGAAGAGAAACTCTTTCTAACTTGCTTTTTTATTTAATGATTTTGTTTTCCGTCTATAATTTTATAAGAAAATTTTTCAAGCAAAATAAATAAATTTCGTATAACACATAAAATGAAGGAAATTTAAAAACATGTAAAATGAAATTACATATGATGATCTACATAAACAAAGATTTTGAAACACATCAAATATAAATTATTTAATTTAAACAAAATATTCTTGAAAATGAAAAAATTTGATTGAAGTAAATAATTATTGATAAAGTTGATAGATATTTTGTATTAATAATATAATTATTAAAAAATAAATATTTTTAATTCATTGAAATTTTGATATAATTATATACTTAAACTTATATTCTAAATTATTGGTTAATTTGAATCAATTTCATGTAATTCAATACATGTTAATACTCGGGTGATTATTGAAACATTATCTAATTCTAATTTTTTGAAATAATCATATTATTATTAATCTCTTTAACTTTTTTTTATTGAGTCACTCCTCTAAATCAAAGCAAGTCTATGTTCCTTTTCTTCTTAAAGTTTTTTAATTTAAAAGTTGCAAGAGATTCCTTTTAAATATGAGTTAATCACCTATACACTGTCAGTGTAAAGTTTTTTACACTGACAGTTAATCAGAGCTGTTAATGGTGTCTTTTTTATTTTAATTTAATTAAATGAGCAGATGAAAAGACACTATTAACGGCTCTGATTATCTGTCAATGTAAAAAAAATTTACACTAGCAGTGTATAGGTGATTAACTCTTTAAATATTGACTGTTATTGATTTTTTCATGGATAAAGATTCAAACATATCATAAGACTAGGGTCATTATGATATTTTATGGGTCCTTGGCAAAATAATAAATTAGGGTCCTAAAATATAAATATTAAAATATATTTTATAATGAAATAGTGTTATCACCATCATTTTTCAATAACATCGAAAAATGGTCTTTTAAGAACATTTCAACTAAGTGTTGGAAGATGATGTATTTGTGTATTGTTTTGACCAAGTGTTAGAAGATTATTTTCTAATTATCCTCATCATTAATAAGGTTACGATGAAAATTCGATTATTTTGAGAATCAAAACCATAGATATCATTAATGGTAGAAATCGAAAACAAAAACTATCAACAATCAAGATTTGTTGGTAGTTATTGATAGTGACAATCTATACTCTATAAATATTAATTTACATCATATAATGAGGGTTAAAACTTGTAAACACTTTACGTATCTTAAATCTTAATGATGCTCACAAATCAATGGGTTGCTACAATATTACCCATCGCCATTTCTTTTTTCTAATAATTTAGATTTGTTTTTAATCTCTTTCTCATTATTTGTTATTCTCCAAACTTAACTTTTCGCATTTTAATTTTCATTTCTTATCCAAAATCTCTTCACTTCTTAATATTAATTTCTTCTTCAAACTCTTATTATTTTATATTTCTACAAAATTTATCTCTTTCTACTTTATTTCAAGTTAAAAATTATTAGGTTGCTAATTTGAATAAAAAATAATTCGCATGATTTGGAAAGATTTCAAGTCCTATTTAAAAAATTTATTTCTATTTGATTTTCGAAATCAAATTTCACTAAAAACAAAGAAGTACTTATTTTTATTAAAAATGTTACACATCTTATTATATTAATTACACAACATAAATTAGAGAACGAGGATAATAATATTATGTAGTGTAGTTTTTATTAAAATAGTTTCTTAAAATTTTATCAAGTTTCGAGAATAGATGTAATACTTTATTGAGTTCAAATTTTTTTTTTATTTCAAAATAATATTTTTCACATTATTTTCATTATCATTTTTTAATATAAAGCATGACAATTATTTTCATAAATAAATAAAATTTGAATGTGATTTAAAGTACAAACATGCAATCCTATATTTTTAAAATGTTAAAAAAAAATGAATTTAGTGTGTTAATATCCGTAGGAAAATGAGATGAAAAAGTATTCCCCATCTTTTCTTGAATTACGAAATATTTTTAAAAAAATATAGGGTCCCTTCTATTTAAGAGTCTTAGTCGATTACACTTTTAAACTATCCTCAGGATCAGTTCTACTTAAGACATCAAACTAGGTTAGAATGTTTCAAAACATAAATTAAATTTGTTGTAAAAATAAATGCATTTTCAAGTGAGAAAATACAAAACGTGTAAAGATGAGTCACTATTTAAAGTTTAAATCTATAAGGGATACCAACATAACTTATTTGGACTCCTTAAAAATTAAGAAATAAAAATTAGGAATATTTATTTGACCCACAAATATCAACGACTTTGAACAATATAGATATTGAAATTTATCCGTTTGAATTTAGCATCTGTAATGTAAATTAAAAATAGCCTCAACTTCTCTCAAAGGGGGATAAAAGTTAGAAAAATTGTTATTTTTCTAGTTTGATTGCATTTTGCATGTTTAAAAAGTCAAAAGTCGTTTGTTATATATTAACGAGTATCTCTTTAAAGTAACAAAATGCAGTGCTGTGTACACGTTTGTTCAGATGTGTCAAATGTGTTTGAAAACACGTTACACAACCAAGAAATCACGTCCATAATGTGAAAAACGCAAAAATCAAAACTATTAGTACTCATTTTGACATGAAAAACACATCATTAAGTTTTATCTCTGTTTTTGTCACTACAACTTTTTTTTTAAACTGTTATTGTTATTTTCTTCTTAAAACATTACCTGCATTTCATTAAAGTTTGTGCCGTAAATTAAGCAATTAAAAAAAAGGTTATTTTGTGCTTAAAACTTACACCACTACCCGATAATTACAATAGTTTCAAATTAAAATAGATAAAATTTTGATATAGTATCAAAATTATATTGGTATAATTTTTCAATTGAAATTGAAGTTTTACATCATTAATACACATTGACATTTCATGAAATATTTTTATTATGTATAATATTGAAATAATTTTAATTTTAATTAAAAAAACAATACCAATAATATTTATGGTACTGTTTGGAAGATTAATCCATAACAAAAAGTTTACCAAGGTCACTAAAATCCAAAATGCAGTATATATTTATATTAGATGTGAAAAAAATATTTTGTAATTAATTGTACCTGAATTATTTATAATTATTAAATACTGTAATTAATCAAAATAAATGAACTCTTTCAACAATTCTCTCATACACAAAAACAAACTCCTAATCACATGCTTAAAGAAACATAGTTATTTGAAAATTATGGTGTATTACGTTGGTATTCAATATTATTGGACTTTTTTTATTATATGAAAATATGAAAGTAAATTACTATTTTATGAAATAATGAAATATATTCCACGAAAGATATATCTGAACTTTCTCCCATGATTTCCACCTTATCATTGATTTTATTATTTTCTTTTAAGACAAAAGGTAAGGTGGTCCACTTTTAAAAGTGGTTTACCATAATCTATCTTTTAGATTAATCTAACACACATAACAATGAAGTATAGCTTCTGCACTATATTTTATCATCTCTTCTATGTAGAAGCTGACCTCCATGCGCTGCCAGTTACCATTTGTCAGTGATGATTTATGACGGTGGAGAAACTTTTTTAACTTCTTTACATTTCCCTTTCCCTTTTCTTCTTCCCCTAATATATTTGTGGATCTGTTTGTGATTTGCATATTTTATTAAAAGAAAGCACACAAGCACTGTAGAGGTCAAGGACAACGTCGCACAAAGGAAAGACTATGACACATGGAGGAGATACAACACTGAAGGAGCCACGATGCCTAGAGGAGAGACGACACCACACAAAGGAAACACGCTACAAAGAAAAGGCACGACTTGGTGTAGAAGAGACACGACTTGCGAGACAGACGTACCCAACACAAATTTGTTGTAGCAACCGCAATGATGGTTACAATAACAGAGGATACAACCGTAGTGGTAGAGACAACAACTATGCTGACTGTTGGGAAAGTAGATATAACTGTAACAGCACACTCTAATGATGGTCACATCTGTTTCTATTCGATAGTGCTCGCATCTCTTTCTCTCCCTTCGATGGGTAGAACTCCAACGATGACCAAGTCTCTCTCCCTTTGTGGATGCTATGTGGTGATTAAGGCAAGCAATCCCAAGAAAAAGAAGAAAATTTGTTATGGTGTAGAGAGCCCATAATAACAATCTGCACCCCATTTTAATCAAAAGGCTAATAATTATGGTGCATGATGGAACACCTATAAAAGTGGTTCATCCTTAAGTTCCTCTTTTATTTTACAAACAAGCAATAAAGTAAATGTTTTTATTATATTCGTGTAAACTTCGTACTATAATTTGTCGTAATAAATAGCAATGCTCAATATGAAATTCATGGGAGAGGATTCTATGGAGCAGACGCTGCTATATAAGAATAAGAAAATTGTGTAGAAGCAGATAATTCAACGGAGCGGAACCAAATTCCCAATTTCTAATCGAACGCATTCATTTGACTAATCGCTTGAGAATTTGAAATTTGACTCTAGCTCAGGTTCTCAGTTATGAACGTCTGAATCAGGGCATGTTCATATTCAAGCTAGATTATCCAAAGTCACATTGAAATATTAGCTAGTATAATTTTAAGTCAATCGATTTTTAAGTTGCCTTTGCCTTGGATAAAAGTTTTTTATACTGAATTTTATTATTTACTTTTTGAATAAAACTTGTAAATATAAGTCACTTAACTTCAAAATTAATTTCAACTAAAATTATTTTTGTAAAAACAATTTAATTCAAAATCAATTTTGCAAAAACGCTAAAAAAAAATGGCACTAAATCCCCATCCTATGCTCATTAGACAACTCACATATTAAGGTGAGACTAAATCTAACACATCCACAGATGCCCAATGAAGCAAGTTTCTTAAAAGTACAGCACCTAAAGAAAACAAAGGTAGATACCGGGCAATAACTTCATATAATAGTAGAGGATGAAATGATACCATATGCATCAATTTTTACTGTTCTGTTGAGCTGCTTCAGCATACTGCTCCGCAAGTTTTTTTACTTTCTCGCCTTCCTTTATAAGAAAACTAGCATTCTTTGCTTTGGAATGATACTTCATAACCTTCTCAGTCGTTTTTGCAACAGCCCACCTGTATTGGTCAGCCGTGATTACACCACTCTTGCACAGTGGTCTGATGTGCTCCTTGATGTAAGCTTCTACCTGTATAAACTCAAGCATTATTATGGAAATATGGGAATTATACAGGAATATATAGAAATGGAAGAAAACAAAAATTATAGCCACTGCATGTTTAAAATTATAATGAAAATAAGTTAAATGGGAATATTAATTTTGCAATACCTTTTTAGTTACAAGATTTACAGATTCGGTTTGCTTAGCAATGAGATCAGATTTCTCATCCTTTCTTTGGAAATTTTCACTAGTCTCAGATATATTAGAAGATTTGTTGGTGTTGGTAGTAACAGAAACCTTTTCTGTGAGATTCTCGTTCCCCAGTTCCGAAGCATTTACTGCATTGTTGTCATTATGCAAGTCACTGGCCTCGCTTAGAGTTTTTGTCTTGTCGTCTCCATGTAATGATCTTGATTCCACCTCCGGAAATATTTTTATGGGTGGTTCTTTGTCTGGGCCGTATAATTCTTCAAATTCTGAATCAAGTGGCTCAACGGCACCCTCACACGGTAGTTGCTCAGAAGAAAAAGGCTGGCCCATCTCCGTATCAATTGCAGAAGCCCTATCATTATCAACTGCATCATTGTGACAATTTGATGAGCAGGATGCATCACCTGGCACTTCATTTCTTACAGACCCTTCACAGTCTGCCCAATCCAGAGAGATATCTGACTTTTTCATGTTCATGGTGGAGAAAACAAGTTTCACTTTTGACTCATTTTGCTCTTGTTTTGGATTTGAGACCCTTGAAACGCTAGCACCAATGTAATCTTCATCTCCCAAATCATACTCAAAATCACCATAAATATCCAGCTCAGGATGAGAATCCAGTTCAAATACATTATCGGGCCCTGACACATCACCATTACATGTTTCTCTGTTCTCATGTGGACTGCTAGGTGGGGAATCAGACAATAGACCAGCATTTTTCAAGGCTGTTTCAACTGCAGGGTCAGTTGAAAGATCATCAGTATTTGGGTCCGATTGTTGATCAGTAAGCATTGCTGATGAGGCTGGTGTACTTGTATCTGTGGCTACATTGGATTTTGTGTTATTTGTGCGATGCAAGAGCTCTTGTGAACAAAGGTTCAAATACACAAGCTTGCTGTTTGATCTATCAGCAACATCTTTTTCAATATTAATTGCATCTGCAACAGCTAATTCTGTATCTGCAGTTCTGCGAATCACTGCCAGATTTGTGTTCCTCAATAAGCGCTCTGTCAGGCGGTAAAGCTGGGTCTGCACAAAAGTAATGGTTTAAGAGGGCAGAAATCTGGCCAACAGAATCATATACAGAAACAAAGCAGCTCGAATGAATGTTGTGCTTTATCTGATTGATCAGAAACTAGATCTTTTGGAAATAGTCAAGCTCCATTACTTAAATATGATTTAACTCCACTAACAAGCCGAAAGAGGAGCATAATTAAATTGTTCCAAATTTGTACGTGTCCACCAGTTTTAATTCCAACTCTGAAATTTGGCAACCACTCTATCCATGACTTTAATCTATGGTAGAATCAATTTTTCATAAATATCTATCAAGTTTTTCTGGTGGGGAACATCTGGTGGTATCACTCATCAAGTAATATTAACAAAGAATAAGGGATAAAGAAAGGGATGGTAAAACCAGTGGCAATCATTTGTTTGTGTTAAACATTTGAAAACAGTTGATAACTAAATGCTAAATTTAGTTCTAAAGTGAGCAGAAAAGAAAGATTCTCCTCAGGAATTGGAACATATTTTCTCAAAACTAATGTCATTTGTAAATTGCCATCTACTGGTGGCTTCATTAAAAATGCATGTGTACAAAATAATGGCGCATTGTTTTTTTCATCTCAAGTTTTATTCTCTAATCTAACATGTGTAACTTAAAATGGTGGAAATGAAAGGTAGAGCATACCTGCCTCACTGATATAGGAATTTTATTGTGGCGACAAGGTGCCAATACTGGTCTCATATCAATTGGCAGCTGGGCCTACTCGCAATAACAGAAAGAAGTAACAGTGAACAGCCATAAACAAATTCTGACACCGTCAAAAGTAAATAAAACAATTGCATAAAAAACTAATCAAATCAATTACATACAAGCAAAGGATAATTTCCTTTAAAAATTGCATTGTCTTCCTGATTTCCATTTGATGTGTTCCCACTTGTGGCAGCTGTTTTCCTCGCAAGAACCTCCAAGGCCCATTTCCTTTTATCAGTTTTCATACAACCAGATTTAAGGCCTGAATCCTTTGTGCTAGTTTTCGAACCAGCTGAAGAAACTGATGTCCTTTCTGAGTGATTGTTTAAACGCACTTTACCAGAAGCTGAATTGTCACCAACTGGACCATGTACAATCTTCTTATCTACTTTTTTTTCAGATGAACAAACACTGGCTTTTGACAAAAGATTATTTACATCTGTTGCTTTATTAGTATTATTACCAACAGATAGATTTGGTACTTTTTCAGATGGGTTTTGTTTAGTTTTCTCTGAGTTACCAATGGTTTTAAGAATAGAGAGAGGTTTGACATCCTCTTTCCGTGGGAACACAGATGTATCTGCTAAATACAACCTGGAAAGAATAGGATTCTTGGCCTGACATTCAGAAGCTTGCTTTGATTCTGGACTGTCTGAACCTTTTCTTAGTAGATCAAGAACTGATTTTAAAGTTTCGACCTTTTCAGGCTTTGAAGCTCTCATGCAACGATATTTCCAAAACTCAATTTCACAATCCCTATCCCATGCACGCTTTCTTCTTCCATTTGAAGTCCCAAAAATTTTCTTTGTTAGATTTTCACGAACTTTTCCTTTCTGCAACATTGATTTCTTTGCCTTTATAGCTGCAGGGGATAACTTGTTTACAAGGTCAGTTTTAGGCCCTGTTATAGCAACCCTAAATGCTTCAAGCAGCTTTGGATCAAAATGGTTATCCTCAAAATTTATAGAGGATCTGTTACGGACAGCTTCTCTAATTTCCTTCCTTAGATTTTGAACTACCAAGGATGATTCTCCATCATCAGAAGCTCTTTTCATGATCTTTTTAACCCTCAACCCAGCCACATTTCCTCTGTTTTCAGATAGCTTGTCACAAGCATTAGTGCTAGTAATTCCCTTGGAAAGCCTCCGGTTTGTCCCTTTAACTATATTCATTATATCCGATGTGACAATTGCCTTTGGTGGAGAATGTTTAAAAGCAAGATTTTTCTGAGCCTTTTCTAAAAGACAAGCATCAGCTGAGTCATCAGTACTACTCATTTGACTACCAGAAGCTTTAATTTTCTTTTGTGCAACTTCATCTGGAAGTTCAGGCATGGCATCTCCATCACCAGTTTTTATATGAACTTGCTCATTACTGTGACATCAAGGCCGAAATCAAGGAAAAAAGAACAAAGAAAGTCAAAATTTGAACTCCTCACATTTATTTCAATGCAGTTAAAGATCACAATTAACTCAGTTTTAATAGCACGAGTATGGAGAATATCAAGGCACATGGTCCTATTTCTTTCTGTTTAATTGTGAGTATTAGAAAACATCAATATTCAAAGTGCTCTGATTTATTACTGTCTTTGCAACCATCAGCACCACTTTCATGATGATATTTTATGCCAACAACCACATACTTCAAAGATGAGCATTATGCCAAAAGCATCCCCTATACATTATGACTACATCTCACAGGCTCTAAAATAATATAAGAGTTTTATCTATATTATAAAGAAGTCCCACATTAGTTAGGAATATAATCAAAGTAGTCCTTATAAGACCCGAGCAATCCTCTCCTCCAGATTTTACAGTTGACTTAGGCCTGGTCCATTTCTAATACGTTTGGCATGGTACATTTGGTATCAGGTGACAAACACTGAATCCAGAGGTTTATCAGAACTAGAATAGTCTGTTAACCCATTAGGTCCCTAAATAGCATTAAAAATATACAGTATTCCTTCACAAAATGATGGGGGTGTTCAAAATGGCCATAATTACAACCACAGCATAGCTGCATAACTGTGAATCACATTATCCAGACAAAAAAAACAAGTTACCAATCAAGGAGGTCATTTGTAACCATTCCCCCACTTCTCCCCCAATCAAACGAAAACAAAAGCGACTAATGATGATGAGAAACTGGAAGTAGTTGATATTGGTAACTGTTCAGAATATAAGTGTGTGTTAAGGAATGTCTTTAAGGAAGCATCAACTCCTAAAATCAAGGATGATTAATTGGGAGCTTGATTCTGGGTAACTGGTTCCCTATTAATTACGAAGTTGATTGGAGGGTGATAGATTGTCAATTAAACATTTGTATACCCTACCCTTAGACCTTAACCCATCCTTCTAGTATAAGTCTATGCAGTAGGGACACTCCCCTTGCTTGAGGTGATAAAGTGACACATTTCCCACACCAACATCAGCATGGCAAATATCGGATATTACTCACTCAATGTTCACTTAAAAATTATATTTTTTTGGACCCAAACACTTCATATGGACACTCAAGTCAACAACTCCTATGGATGGATGCTTTAAGGAAACTAGTTTTATTAAAAAAAAAAAAAAAAAAAAA